CATTTTTTCATATGTTCGTTGGCCATTAGCCTATCTTCTTTTGAAAAGTTTCTATTCACGTCCTTTGCTTAAAAGGGTGATCTCATGTTAAATTTTCTTACTACAATAACATAAAATTTAAAAAAGAAAAATGCCTGGGTGTCTTAGTGTTCTTGTGATAACTGAAGTAAACAGAGATGTATGGGCGCATGGATATTAGTTTGATGTGCTCTTAAGAAGAGGTTCAGATTGCAGCCTCCGACTTGAGACTGGAGTTGTAGGCAACTGAGGTGGGGAATGATGGAGAGATTGGGAGTTCTCCCCCAAAACACCACGGGCCCTTCAGTCTTCTGTGTAATCCTGTCATGACAGTTCCTGAGACCAGGACAGGCAAAGTCTAACCAGGAGAAAGAAGACTTCTTGTAGACTTCCTTTCAATTCCACCAACACTGATGTCGAGAGCAGGGTCTTGCCAGGAGTGTTAAACCCAATTCTCTACTCTATACTTCCTAGGAAAATGTTCGCCTTTGGTTTCTACAAAATAACATTTTTCTGTTTTTTCGCTGAGGCCCCTCCTTCACAGACCCTTTTCGAGCTTTCTTCCTCTTCTATTAAACTTCTAAATGTTGTGATTTATCTGGATTTAGTTCTGTGCTGCTTGTTCTTTCCACTCTATATATTCCTCATCCATTTCTACAACTTTTAATACTATCTATGTGACAGTCCCAGACTGATAGTTCCATCCCTATTCTCTTGCCTCCTACTGTTCAACTCTTTGGTGATAATATGTAAGCACCTCGGCCTTCTCTCCATTCTTGATCATTTTGTTTTTATCTAAGGACCCTAGCACATGCTTCCCTCTGCTTGTAATGCTGGATGAGTGGCTCTCTCCCATTTTGCAAGGATCAATTCTCAGCTAAAATGCCGTATCATAAAAAAGGTCTTCCCTGAACACACAACCTAGATTGGACCTCCCTTTTATAAGCATTCATAACTTTGAATGTGTTCAAGGAAGGAAAAAAAAAATTCTTTCTTTCGGAGCACTTACCATCATATGAAATTATTTATGTATTTCTTTATATACTACAGACTATATCCTTCCACAGGAATGTAAATTCCCCAATGGCAGAGACATATGATTTTTGTTAATCAAAGAATGGTGT